TATTTTAATTATAATTTTAACTTTATTTCAAAGTAAACTATATTAGTGAATTATAAGTAAATAATTATATATCATTCAAGAAAAGGTTGGGTGATTTCTTCCTTTGCTATTAACTGCCTATGAACACTTGCCAGAAGGTCTGTTATGGGTTAGTTCTGACTTGACAGTACACAACACAACAACAATTATATATATATCATATTGTGAAATAATAAGTATTCATGCCATTATATTTTAGTTATAACAATATTGATTTTATTTTAAAGTGAGTTATAATAGAGGAGTATAATTTAGTAATTGACATAGTTCTAGTTTGTATTAGAATGTTGTCTTTATTTTTTATTTCATTTACTTATATTTTATATTTATGGTTATACTCAACAACAAACAATAACTCATTGCCGTTGAGTTGAGAATTACTCAAAGCTGACCCTCCAGCAGGTTTTCAGAGCCTTCAAAGTGTATAGAAGGAGATTGTCACTCTTTCTTTTTTGCTGCATGCCTTTGGGTTGGCAGTAGTTTTTTCCTATTACAATTTGAACAGTTTTCCGATAATATGCAGCTGTGTATTCTTTCCTTGCAGGACTGAGGAATCTGAATGTCATTTATTCCCATCAGAACAACTTTCTCATATCTTCTCATAAGACTTGCTTAATTTTACTGAAAATTATCCTCAATTTTGTGTTTTGTTCTATGGTTAAAAAATTTTTTAACACTTCTGTTATCTGCTGTTGTTGTTATGTGCTGTTGAGTAGGAATTGATCCATAGCTGACCCTCCAGTAGGTTTGCAAAGGAAATAAATCACATAGGAGGATGATGTCCAGCCTCACATAAAGCAATCAAACTATTTGAATTGCATGTCTCAGTGATTGCAACACAATTTCCAACCAGTGGGTCACCAGAGCTCTGTTTTATGAATATGTAAAAAGTATTTTTGATTGATGTCTAAAATTGTGGGTTTTTTTTGTTTTCTTCTTGAGTTTTCTATACAGAAAATAAAATAATTTAGCAATAGTGGTGTGTTTCCTACTCTTCATTTTAAAGCATTAGTCAAGTGCTATCTCTTAGAATTGGCTTGTTTTATGTGACTTTTTTCCTTCTCTTCAGCATGGAGGAATGTGAAGCCCTGTGCACAAGACTGGCTATCATGGTCAATGGCAGCTTCAAGTGTCTTGGTTCTCCTCAGCACATTAAAAATAGGTATGTTCTTATCCTTCTTTTGTTGTTTTTTTCACATATTCACTCTAAAATCCACTGTGTTATGGTGCTATAAGTGGAGATTCTCTAGACACTGGAAGGTTCTGTTAGCTAATGTCATAGAACAAGTGATAAAGGCTCTGAGAATTGTATGCTTAAAATACCAACACAAGTAAGTTAAAGACACAGATGATCTTTTACAGATTCCAGAATTTTTCCCATGATAATGTCCTCTTTTCCTGCAAAGAACCTCCTTATTTTAATAATAATGTTAGCAGAGTGAGGATGAAGGAAAAACAATGAAAAGTTCTTCATATATATAAATACTTTGTGTGGGAGGGATTTGATTGTGGGACTTATTAGGGAAGTCAGCAGATTCAGGATAACAACAAGCAACCATACATAACCAATAATATAAAATCCCTCAATCTAGACAACATTAACAGGCTGTACATGTTGGCAACAATAACCATACAATTGCTCAGTCCTCCAGTAAGCTTGGATGAAGGTCTCTGGCTCTGGTTCCGGGGGGCAGAAGTTCCAAGTCATACACATCCAGATAAACAAGCAGCCCCAAATCCGACCAATATCACTGTGCTTCTCATTCCAGACAACTATGGCTCATCCTCCAGCAAGCTTTGGATAAGTCAACAAGTCAGATTGTCACCTCTCCTCTGCTGGGGTTGTATTGCTCTTATGTAACTTCAGGCCTGGGGCTCACACAGCTATTTATTATGTAGACAGAATACCTCAGGCAGAGCTGAGGCAGCTGAATTAGTTTAACAGGCTTGTAGGTGAGACAGAATTGAGGGTGCTAAATAATGGTCTAGGAAAGCCATTTTTAGCAACATAAAGACATAGCAGCAGAATTATTCCAGAACTTACATGACTTTTCTGGGGACTCATTTTCATTGTCCACTATTCAAGATAAACTCATTGGAAAAACAAATTTGAGTATCTTCTATTCATTATATTACTCCTTTTCTGACCTATGCCTAAATACTCCCACCTAGTGCTCAACATATTTTTTTTCATAGAAAATTGTATTTTAACTCTGGTTAATAGGAATAATTTAAACATTCAAATACCAAACAAATAATGAATTATCTTACTGGTCTAAATAAAATAATTTAAACTTAAAAATATGTAAAAAATAATAAATGCAGGAAACGCTTCAGCACCCATTAATGATAAAATTATCAGCAAACTAGGAATAACAAGTAATTTCCTCAATCTAATAACTATTATCTTTAAGTATCTTCGCCTACCCATCTGCCAGTTGTTTGCATCTTTGTAGTTTGTGTGGTTTTGCTTTTTTGTCTTCACTTTATTTTTATTATTAGTTTGTATACAAAATTTAATACATTGTGTATCATTCATTAATATTGCATTTCATACATTCCTACATTTACATTATGTCTAAAATGATACATTGTGTTTTATAAAATGAATTACCATTAATCAATGGTGACTATTAACCCCATCATATCTACTATCACCACTGCTATTCAATATTTTATTGAAAGTACTTACTAGGGCAATAATACAAAAGAAAAATAAGAAGCATCCAATCAGCAAAAAGGTGGTAAAACTCTTTTTTTTTTACCAGTTCCTACATAAATCCACTGGAGGGTCAGTTATGTGTCAGTTCCAAATCTATGGTACACAACAACAACAACAACATATGCAAACTATATAAGAGTGTACACAGAAGACACCGAAGAGTCAACAAAATCTGTTAGACATGTTGTTGTAATTGTTGTAGTTGTTGTTATGTGCCATCTTGCAACTCATAGCAACCCTATGTACAATAGCTCTGTGGTCTGCCCTGTCCAGTCTCACTGACGCACACACCTACCCTACCACCATTACACTAGGTACTGTATCATTCCATCTCATCCAGGGTCTTCCTCTCCTGCACTGTCCCTCCACCCTTCCCTGCATGATGTCTTTCTCTAAGGATGGTCTCTCCTGGCCACATGCCCAAATATGTGAGATAGAGCTTCAAAATCATAGCCTCCACGAAGAAGCTTGGTTTCACCCTCTCCAAGACAGATCTATTTGTTTTGCTGGCAGTCAATGCATGGTATGTTCAAGACTTCTCCAGCACCACAATTCAAAATCACTAATTCTTCGTCTCTCATCCTTAGTCATTGTCCAGCTTTCTTATGCATAACAAGTAATTGAGAAGACCAGACCATGGTCTGGATTAGGAACACCTTAGTCTCTAGACTGACATCTTTGCTTCTCAGTACTCTGGAAATGTTCCTGACAACAGATTTGCCTAATGCAATTTGTTTTTATATTTCCTGAATGGTGGTGCCAAGAGTGTTGATTGTGGAGCTGAGCAAGTTGTAACTGTCAACCTCGATCTCTTCTTTATCCATCATTGTGCTGCCAATTGTTCCAGTGGTGAGAATCTTTGTCTGTTAGACATTGCAGACAAATTTAGTAGACTGACAGACCATAAGATCAATATACAAAAATCAGTGGGATTTCTGTACAGTAACAATGAAAACAAGGAAAAGGAAACTTAGAAAGCAATACCATTTACAATAAGCCAACCACAAACTGAAATACTTGGGAATAAACCCAACTAGAGACACTAGCAACCTTTAAAAGGAAAACTACAAATCATTACTGTAAGAAACAATAAGAGACCTAACTAAATGAAAAAATAGTTCCTGTTCATGGACAGGAACACTCATATAGTGAAAATGACAATCCTACCAAAAGCAAAACACAATCCCAATCCAAACACAAAACTCATTTTTCAAAGGGATATAAGACAATTGGCATTTTAATTTAATATGAAAGAGATCCCAAATTTAAAAAAAAAAAAGTACTTCTAAAAAACAAAAATGAAGTGGGAGGCATAGCATTTCCTTATCTCAAAACTTACTACACAGCTGTAATAATAAGAGCATGGTTCTGGTACAATGACAGAGACGTAGACTAATTAAACAGAATTGAGAGCCCAGAAATGGACCCCTCTATAGAGTGCATTAGGGAAATGTCCTTTCACCATAACTTTTCAATCTATATGTACAACAGATCATTGAGGAGGCTGGGCTTTATGGGGAGGAATGTGTTATCAGGACTGGAGGAAGACTCATTAACAGCCTATGTGCAGATGAAACAATCTTGCTTGCAGAATCTGAGGAGGGCTTGAAGCACTTGCTGCAGAAGGTCAAGGACTGTAGTCTTCAATATGGATTTAAGCTAAATATCAATGAGACAAAGATTCTTACCACTGGGCCAACTGGCAGCACAATGACAGATGGAGAAGAGATTGAGGTTGTTAAAAATTACAGCTTGCTAGGCTCCACAATCAACACTCTTGCCACCAGCAGTCAAGAAATCAAAAGAGGAATTGCACTAGGAAAATCTGCTGTCAGGAATGTCCCCAAAGTACTGAAAAGCAATGATATCAGTCTAGAGTTAAAGGTGTGCCTGACCCAGGCCACGATCTTTGCAATTACTTGCTATGCATTCATCAGATAGATGAACAATGACTAAGGATGACAGAAGAAAAATTGATGCCGTTGAGTTGTGGTGCTGGAGACAAGTCTTGAACATACCGTGGACTGCCAAGAAAACAAATACGTCTGTCTTGGAAAGGGTGAAACCAAGTACTCCATGAAGGCTGGGATTTTGAAACTCCATCTCATGTATTTTGGTCATGTTGCCAGGAGGGACTGATCCTTGGAGAAGGATATCATGCTTAGAAAGGTGGAGGAACAATACAAGCGCAGAAGATGCCAGATGAGATGGATTGATTCAATAACAGGGGCAATGGTGATAGATAGTTACATCGGGTCAATGAGACTGACTCAGGACAGGGCAGGCTTCATAGCTGTTATAGATAAGGTTACTGTGAATTACAGGTGACTCAATGGCACGTAACAACAACAACCTAAGGCCAACTGGGATTTGACAAGGAGGGACAATGCAAGAGAGAAAGAACATGGATGAGATTAACACAAAAAATGGGGTAATAGAGTAGATGTGTCGGAGACAGTGAGATTGTTTCAACATAAGGCAGGTTCAGAACTATTTTACCTATGGTCACTATATGTCTAAGTTAATACAACAGCACATAAGAAAAACAGGTTTTCCCTTACTCTACTCAGAAAATAGCTTCTTGGTCTGTGTATGAGTTTTACATGAGCATAATTATGTGTTCTGGGATTGCCATTCTTCTGAATGTTAACCATATTTTTTAAAAGATCCATTCAGTAAAAATGCCTTTGCATAGCCAATAAAATACAAATAGACATCCTTCTGCTATTTTCTGCTTTCTGCCTGGATCCATCTGATATCATAAGTAATGATATCCCTGGTGATTTGATCTCTTCTCAATGCAGCTTTGACTTTTGGCAGTTTTCTGTTAAAATGGTAACCTAGTGGTAAGGAATTGCACTTCAATCCCAGAGGCATATGGTTCAAATGTACCAGCTGCTCAGCAGGAGAAAGATGGATAATCTCCTCTAGCACAATTAGCCTGTTTCCGAAAACTTGCTGGAGGGTCAGCTATGGGCTGGTTCCAACTCAAGGGTACATAAAAACAATAGTAACTGTTGATATACTGTTAGAGCATTTTTTGGATAATATCCAACAGATTTAGGGTTTTTTTTTTTTTTTTTACTTCTTGCAATTATTTATTTACAGAATCAGAATAGAAGAAGGAAATACTGGATAGTTCAAAATTAGAAAAGGACTGTGTCAAGGATGCATTCTTTCTCTATGCCTTTTCAATCTATGTGCAAAACTGATCATTTGAGAGGCTAGACTCTGTGAGGAGGAGTCATCAGGATTGGAGGAAGACTCATCACCAACCTGTGTCATGCAAATGACACAACCTTACTTGCTGAAACTGAGGAGGGCCTGAAGCATTTGCTCCAGAGAATTAACAAATATAGTTTGCAATATGGATTGAAGCTAAACATCAAGAAGACTAAGATTCTCATCACTGGGCCCACTGGCAGCATAATAATAGATTG